GAGAGAGAGAGAGAGAGAGAGAGAGAGAGAGAGAGAGAGAGAGAGAGGGGACCAGTCCAACTGGTAGAGTCACTTGACTTCCTTATTGCTGCCATCCAATAGCAGCGAGGCCACCTCTGTGAACTATAAATGAAAGAGAAAGTAAAGAAACAAACTGTCTTTGGGAAGTATCTCCATTATCCTGCGTGTCGTTCAGTAGCAGCTAAAGCATGTTGTTTCCTCTCAACTGACCGTCTCAAAGAAAACACAGGACGATATAAAGATACATTATTATTACGATCCGTGTGAAGTTCATCTGAGGTCACCAGGAGAAGGAACAAACATGTCCCGCGGTTCAAACCCAGGGTTCGACCGACACATCACCATATTTTCTCCGGAGGGCCGCCTCTACCAAGTCGGTAAGAGAGACACTTTCTCCGGTGTTGTTCTAGTGCTGCAGCATGACTGTACTTAAAGTCTAACTATACCATTACCACCAGTAGTTAACGATACTGTTGTTATTATTAGGCTGCAGACGACACACACAAGCACATTATAATAATGCTAAAGTGATTAGCTTGTCCGGTACAGTGCAGTTAGTATCAACATTTGCATCCATTTATTGTGTTTTAAATATTTAGTTTAAACCCAGGCGGTCTGAAAAGTGAAGCCAACAAACCTAAATAAACAGCTCTATGTCTGATCCTTTTACAGGTTTATAGAAGCATATTTGGCAACTTTATTAAACATAATGATTAGCTGGTTAGTTGTTGATAGATGCTCTATCTATCGGCTTTAGTAGAAAATGACCCTACCTCTCACTTGATATATTAACGTAACCTCAGTAAACGTCAACAGTCTCTCATTCCAAGTCATCTTCAATACAACACGATGTTCATTTAGTACATTTTGGTCCCGGTTAGAGTAAAATAGACTATGAAGCAGTGATTTAAAGTTAATTGTAACGGTCCACCCTCCTGTATCACTTCTGGTTGCAAAAACCAAGATGGCGGCGGCCAAAATGCAGAACTCGAGGCTCTAAAACCCAAATGGCTGTTGACAAACTAGGGGGTTCACGATGACTACGTATGGTTAAACCTGAGGTTCTTTTTTAATAGCCTATACTCCGCCATTTTTAAGTAAAACTGCATATGATTTAACAGGTTAAAGTATGTTAAGTTCTGCTTATTGGAGCAAACGTGCCGTTCTCCACTGATGAAACAGGATATCAAACCACACTGTCACATTAATAAACCTTCTATTCTTACTCTTTTAATTTGTCCTTCTGTCTGTGTGTCACATGTGCTGTCACGCAGAGTATGCCTTCAAAGCCATCTCCCAGAGTGGGTTGACGTCTGTGGGGATCCGGGGGATAGACAGCGCTGTGGTGGTCACACAAAAGAAAATACCTGTGAGATATTACACACACACACACACACACACTTGGATGATGACGCTCTGAGTTCAAGCGAAGCAGTGAAGCCTGTCCGGAGTCGTGACTCCAGCTAGTTGCTGACTTGATGGTCAAGTATATGAACAAGACGCTGCCAATAAAAACAAATGCCAGTTCTCACATTACCAAGCCAGAGACTACTTTTATTTTGTTTTTATATAAAGTTGTATTTTGTCCATTCACTGTCAATTTCAATGTCTTAAACGTCATGATCAGGGATAGTCTTATCTGATCATAATGTGTTTGTTGTAAATGCGGCATCGATTTTCACATGCACCGTGGTACATTGAGACGTGTCGGCATAATATTACTATATTATATGAGTTGTCCTTATTCTGACTGCAGGACAAGCTGCTGGACTCTTCCACTGTGACCAACATGTTCAAACTAACCCCTCGCATTGGCTGTGTGATGACTGGGCAAGGTGGTAAGTATCAATGTCCGAGTAGCTGTAATACTTTCATGTAATGATCATGAACGAATGTGACCAGGATCAGACATTACTTTAAATAAGGATGACAAACAACTGGTAGACATAGTGTAATATACTGTTTATGGGGCGTCAGTCTGGGTGACATTCTTGTTGGTTTACTGTGATTATGTCTGGAAGATTATTTAATATTCATGGCCCTTCTGTTTTCTGCAGGGGACAGTCGCTCCCAGGTTCACCGGGCCCGAGCGGAAGCTGGAGAATGGAAATATAAGTTTGGTTATGACATCATGGCAGACATGTTGTGTCGCAGGTTGGCGGAAATCTCCCAGGTCTACACGCAGAACGCCGAAATGAGGCCTCTTGGCTGCTGTGAGTAGGGGGGGGGTCTTGATTTCTGCCTCTGATCAACAACTCACTCTTTCTTCTTCAATCTATTCTGTAATGAAATGATCAAATCATCTAAGCTGTAATCTAATCCCACTTAAGTGTAAGAGCTTGAAAGGGATCATTGAAAAGTGTCTGAATATACAGTATATCCTCATAATCTGAGGGATATGGATATGAAGGTTTTGCCTCCTTTCATCCTCCTCTTGTGCTCCTTCTGCTCCCTGCAGGTATGATCATGGTGGCCATAGACCCCCAGCAGGGCCCTGTCCTGTTTAAGTGTGACCCTGCAGGCTACTACTGTGGCTTCAGAGCCACATCAGTCGGCGTCAAACAGACGGAGGCCAACAGCTACCTGGAGAAGAAACTGAAGAAAAAGCCAGAACTGACCCACGACAGGGCCGTACAGGTAGAGGGAAACCCTGTGAAGTGTTCCTGAGGCGTCTGTGTGTTCAAACATACTCACCTAACGTTTCCTTCTTTTTCCAGATGGCTATAACATGTCTGTCCTCCGTCCTGTCCTTGGACTTCAAGGCCAGTGATCTGGAGATTGGCGTGGTCACCAAGGAGAAACCTAAGTTCAGGTAACTTCACTCAGACCTACTGTCAATTTATTTAAAGGTACAGTGTTTATCTTTTAGGGGGTCTGTTGACAGAAATGGAATATAAAATAATACAAATGTATTCTTTGGTGTACAATCACCTGAAAATAAGAATTTTTGTGTTTTTGTTACCTTAGAACGAGCCGCCATGTTTCTACTGTTGCCCAGAACGGACAAACCAAACACTGGCTCTAGATAGCGACATTCATGTTTTCGCGTCGGCCTCTGTAGTTCTCCTACATGGCTGGCACATAGTAGAAGTTTCAGTTGGTTGCAATCTGCAACCTCACCTCTAGATGTCGCCAAATCCTACACACTGACCCTTTAAGATTAGATATTCTGTCAAATAGTCGGGAGTTGTATGATGGATTTCCTCTGATCATGTTGGATGTCATGACTGGAAAAACAAGTAGAGTGCATTATCTTTTAGTGATGTTAAAATGCAAACAGTTTTTTGAGTTATTATCTGCCTTGCGTCTTTCACTGTTCATTTCTTACTCTTTGTTTTATTCCTCTGGTTATTATTCAAATTGTCCTCTTTTTCTTCCCTCCTCACCTCCTGTAGGATGCTGTCGGAGGCAGAGGTTGAAACCCACCTGGTTGCCATAGCAGAGCGGGAGTAAAGGTGCCCTCACAAACGGTCCGTCATAGTGTTTCATTGCTTCATTTAGCCCATTTTAGCAGCACTGTTAGCAACAGTCTAAAGACGAAAGTACACACCTGTGTGTCCAGGAAGGTTAATCATGCTCACCTGGAGAAGAAACTCTGTTGATTGATATATGTTTGATTTTTAATCTGGGCTTTTTAAAAAACTCAATGTAGACAAAAATAATGCAATGTTTAAATACTAGCACATGAAACCATCTTTTGTAGACAACACAAGCAACACATTCCACCCAAAATACTCTGCAAAGTATCTGCTTATTTGAAATAGAAAAGTGTCTGGATCCTAGTTGTTTTGTATGACTTTAGCTGGTTTTGTTTGTGTACAGAATATTTGTCACACAGCTTGTTAACTGTATGTTTTTAACAGCAGCCTTGTTGTCATCTCCACACTTGCAATAAAAACATCAGACTCATTGTCAACCCCTTTAAAACAAAAGTTATAATAAAATAGAACTGAAAAGAAGACTACAAACACTGTCCTGTTTTTACTTTAAATCAAATATATTAACTTTTAGCACTAAAATAGATAGTTCAGGTTTTTCCCAAAGTTTGACAAATATCCCGATGAAACAAAGTTCCCCTTGTTGAACAGCAGGTGGCGTCAGTGAGGCGGAAACATTACCTGAGGTTTAATGGTAGAAGGTCAGTTCTTTCATCGATGAGGCGAAGACGGAACTGAATCCACAAGTTACTCCAACAAACAATATTGTGAATTTGTCGACGAGGACTAAGCAGTGCAGTCACTGATGATCACACAGAGATAAATAGCAAATACTCTCGTAGGAAGTGAGATGAGCATCACAGAGGCCAATGTGTCCAGTTATTTTAGCAGAAATGATAGTAACGGTACAATAGCAACATAGTTTTGTATTTTAGATCGCACTGAAATGCATACCGGATGTCCACATTGCATTAATTCTTCCCACTGTGGGTGATACTGAGATACTTCACATGACCACTAGATGGCAGTGCTGTGTCTGTAACTCCCTCTTTGAGTATTTCAGAACAGAATTCAGTTTAGTTCTGCGTGTACTCTTCTATTTGGGGAAACCTATTTTGAATCTTGTAAACTTCCGAGTCTTCGGTGTTTGCGTGTGTCAGACAGCCAATCCTGTCATGACATGTTGTTACGTGTGCCTCTGTGTGTGTGTGTGTGTGTGTGTGTGTGTGTGTGTGTGTGTGTCCGTCTCTTGAGTTTCCACCAGTGACCCACCAATCTGTGGATACGGATCAATGTCCTGTTCAATTACCGAATGTCACTTGCAAATGTAAATGCGGAAGTATTTCTGGTTGCACACATAATCACACAAAAACACTGATGCATACAATAACAGAGAGAACAGCAGTCTGGTTTTATTTTATTTAAAGCAGAAGGTGACACTTTGAGGGGAAAAAGCTGTGGATTTACAGAATCTGATTACTTTTACAGGGTTGACACATGAGAAATAAACTCTTCTTTACACATTGACACAATATTATTGCAACATTCTGTATTTAACACAAACAAAACCTTTTTTATTCTCACTTACCTGCGAGGCATTATGTGAAGTAGAGGTATTATACGGCCTCTCTGTGTATTTGTGCTCGTGGAGGTAAATCTGAAAGTTGCTGCACACTGAGTATCTAAATGAGATACGCACGGTAGACATGGTGCAATTCTGCAGGCTCCAAATTCCAGATAGATCGTCATTTTAACAGGAAAGAGCAATGCTGTAGGACCATTAACAATAAAGGACCAATCTGTCACAATCACTCACTTCTTGGACAGAGAGGAGTGATAGTTAAATAGAGGATGCTCAGTTTGTTGGCAGACACAATTAGGATTTAGGCTGAGAGGCTTGTGTCAGTGATTCTCAGTGAGAGCAGCAAAAAGCCCGGCTAGTCTCCTTAAAGTCACTAGTGCGAGACGGTCCTCGGTTACATCGATAGGCCTCTTAGCTTAATTCTGTGTCCACTTTGACTCACAAGCCTTTCTTGTGTTGCACTGTAGCTTAACGCCAACGAGAGATGCATTACTGTGAATCAAATACACGCACATGTAGTATTTGTTTTCAGCTTTATCCACGGAGACAAAGGGACGTTGGTAAAAAGCAAAAACGCCTTAAAAGGCCTTTAAAAAAACCATGAAAGAGATTTGGGAAGGAGGTCGGTGTTCTAACTGGTGACGTGGAAGATGCCCGTCTCATGTTTGTCTCTTCATCCTCATGTCTGGCTCTGCATGCACATCATAACCTAGGAGAACAGAAAAAAAGAGAGAATCCCCCGTTAGGACCGACAGGAAACACGGAAGAGAGAACCACACAGTTCAGAGTTGTTTTCATGTAATCTTCATGTAAGCCACAGCAATCAGTGCACCATGTCATGAAGTGTATGGGGGAGGCTTGTACATGTGTAAATAGTTTCACTAGCTGGCTCTTAGACGCTTCTTGTCTCTCATCCACATTCCCGAACCAACTAACCTCTGCACCTTACAGGGCTGCAGGACTAGTAGTCGTCAGTAGTCCCTGGTTTTCAAAAACGTTGTCTCCTTTTTCGGGAAGAAGTTAAATAGTCTCACACACACCAGCCACATTTATCATGTGAAGTAAATGCAATGGAAACAGGTTGTGGACACAACATTGACGTATCGTCAACTTTTAGGTTTTTATGGTTTATTTACACGTCCAGCAACATTATCGTTGGTTTGGTGTCGCGTGTCCGTCCACCTGATGTGTTGAAGTCCAATATTTGCTCTGTTTTTTGTCTCGAAATGTCTTGCTTTTGTTGCTACATGCTCCACTATATAGTTCACCAGCTAATCGCTTACAGTTGCTAACTCTGTCTGTTTGCCAATTGGTGCTGAGCGGAAAGAGTTCAGTGGGTTTTCACAGCTTTTTAGCAGAAAATTGCTTCCGAAATTGACACTTTGAGAGCAACGACAGAGAACCACAACAGTAAGGTTGTGTGCCGGACAGCTACACAGCGAGCTGAAACTCTCTCTGAAGCTCCGTAACGCTGCAGATTCAGGTGATAGTTCTCTGTAGGTTTGTCACCTCGGTTATAGCCGCTTTAATTTCGACAGTGGCGGTTCTTATTTTCTGGGTTTTGGCTCCTCACTTTAACACATTTTCTTAAATCAAAATTCTGTCAGTAACAAACTGATTTTGGTGTTTTTCAACCTTTTCCTGCTCCTCTACCTGCTCTCGCCTCACCTCGACCACCACCCCCACCTGTTCACCTCCTCCTCGCCCCCAAAGTCCTCACACTCCTACTCCTCCCCTTTCGCATTCTCCATCCTCTCCGCCATCACCCCCTTTCCTCCCTCCCCTGATAGGAAATGTTGACCCTGTGGCTGGTGTCACCTGGTACCGGGTCTGCCTGCCAAGCTGAATGGGCCCAGGGCATCGGGTAGCCAGGCTGTATGTGTGTTTGTGTGTGTGTGTGTGTGTGTGTGTGTGTGTGTGCTGGGTCACGGCGTGCGGATTAGGTGTGTGTGAGTGATTGAGGGTGACAGCGGCGCTAGCATTAGGGGCCCTGTGGCAGATTTTGTAGGCCTGTTTTAGACACACTAAGCTGGATTTACCAGCAGCAGTGTGTCAGCAGTGATGCAGCCCGCCTGGACCTCCTACGGAACACACACACGAGTACACACACCCGCGCGCAAGCACACACGCGTTGACCCACGTCACCCTTGACCCCACCTATCTACCTGCAACCGGGCCGATCGTCCCATCATCCCTTTCTCTCGGTATGTTTCTTCTATCCGTCCCTTACCGGTAACGGATAAAAATGTCTTCCTGCTGTAATATTTCTAATTTCCTTAAGTTTGTCTTCACACTACAGTAAATAAGCTGAGGACTCTGTGGTGCATGCAGACTACTGTAGCATGCACCAAGCATCACCCGCCTCCACCCCAAAACAAATATTAGGGCCCAGTCAGCCGAAAACTTTGCACGGAATCCGATTCATTTTAAGGGAATAACAGTGGACCGATTCCTTTAACGGGCAGCAAAGCAAATCAAAGCGCAGCTTACTTTGGTGAACTTTGATGTGAAGTTTCACAATCAAAAGGTCGGAACGTGGTAGAGGCACTGACACAGTAGAGTATGAGGAAATCTACTCTTTAAGCTGATACTGTTTAATTAAATACTGAAGTGGCAAAGTAAAATGGAAGTAATTTGCGACGAAGCATGTTGAGATCGTGGTCGTGTAAATGTTTGCGTTCGTAAATGTGCTTTGCTTTTGGTGTAGCGAGCTAGCAAGCTACACAGGCTCTGATACTAATAATCATAATTTCGTCCTCTCTCTTCTGTGACTTTTTGGGCCCGTTGAACAAGCAATGGATACAACACATGCAGCTAAATGTAAGAGTGGGACAGCGTGAAAAGTGTTTGTTCGATCTCAAAATCACTTGTTCTGCATCTGACTGTTGTTAGCTTATCCCACAGTGAAGTTGCATACTGGGTGTGCTGCAGTATATGTGTGGTCACTTTGTGTGTGTTAACGCAGAGGGTATGTGAGGCCACTGTGGCCCCGCGTGTCTGCACACACATGTTACTGGTGCTTGATCGTTGGCATGACTTGTACGCACCTTTGTCCGCGTGTCTGTGTGCGTGTGTGTGTGTGCATGCACCAGTGTGTGTGTGTGAGATCTCTGTTACAGCCTGTCCATTGTGAAGGAGAGTGTTGAGCAAGATCCTGACCCACCGGCGGGTACTAATCAGACGCATTCCTCGGGATTAAACGTCCAATTAACAATAAGAGAGCCATTGTAGCCCCTTCTCCTTGTGCGTCACAGTTAGAAGGTTTTGTGTGTGTGTGTACGTGTCGCAGTGAGCGCGTGGCTCTTATTTGTGTGTGCGTGGGCATGTGCTTCTTGTGTGTGCAAGGTGCATTTTGGCCATTCAAAAAGCACTCTTTGTGATATTTCTGCCAGCGTGTTGCACTGTTCTGGTTTTACATTAACATGCACGCTAGCTGCATGAAAAAAAATCACGTTTTTTAAATTTTGTGCAATTTAAAACAATCTTATAAATACATAATAGAGCGAGAGATGGTGGATTATGGGCGCTGCATGCCAAATAGTGGCTGCAAGTCACAAGATGTGCGTGTGTTTGACACAGTGTTCTTAATGATGCATGTTAATCCAGGGTTTGTTCGGGCACCGGTGGTGAGTCCACCTGGCCTTGTTTACACAGTAATGCAAACCAAAAAATTATTAATATTCTATTATATCTATTTGTGTTTGAGTGCTGCTGTTAATGTAGTGTGTCTGCCGGTCGTTTGCATAAATGTTTGCATAAATAGTGTCTTCAATAACTGTGTGTGTGTGTGTGTGTGTGTGTGTGTGTGTGTGTGTGTGTGTGTGTGTGTGTGTGTGCGTGTGTCTGTGTAGGATGGGTATATGCATCAGTGTGGCACGTGGCGGAGTGTGGCAGAGGATTAGTGAGGCTCAGGGCCTGTTGCTCCACTTCCATGATTACTACTGTCTACTGCCATATGGGGTGGTGGGGGTGCAGGTGGGGGTGGGTGGTGGTGGGTGGGTGGGTGGTGTGTGTGTGGGGGCAACGCTGTACCACGCTATACACACACACACACGCACACACAGAACACATGCCCAGGGTTCACACACACACAGTCTTTTATAAAGAAGTGCATATGAAACCACGCATGGATGCACATATGAGCTTTGTTTTAACAAGTTGGAACACTGTGTGTGTGTGTGTGTGTGTGTGTGTGTGTGTGTGCGTTGCACCTTGTCCACTTGCCTGCCTAAATGCTGAATAACATAAATTGCCATACATTTTAAATTATTTAATGAAACACTGTCAATTTTTATATTTTAAATCTCTATTTATTTTGCTTTAAATCAGTGGTTTTGACCTGACTGATAAGCTCTTACAAATCTTTTTTTCTTATGAATTCTAATAACATAGAAGTATGAATTAGCAGTGAATCATTATTTAACTGTAAATAAAAGTTCCGTCATGAATAACCGGTTAGCAGCTAAAGAATACACACGTATTGCTTCCATTGAAAATAGTCATGGAGCTGCATTTTACTACAGTAAATAAGAGCTCTTTATTAGAGGCATATTATGTACAGAAACACAAGATGCACATTAAGTATTAAATTAAAACATTTCACTTTGTCTGATAACAGACTGGACAAACAAATACAAATAAAATTGCTCATCTTATCTAATTACAAGTGTATGAGTATGAGGGCATGAACAGGTGTTAACTTGATTTAACCCCAGACAGTGGTCGAGGAGGGGGCTAAATGATGACAGTGAACACACACGCACACACACACACACACACACCACCTGCTGCCGTCTGCAGTGGATTAGAGATCTGTCTACTATCAGAAGACAGCAGGACACACACATGCACGCAGCGGGGGGTCCTCTGTCTGTGAAATTGATCAAGATGCTGAGGCCATGACATTATTTACAGATGAACTCACGGCCACAGACACGATGCAAGGCCAGCTGTGAAATGTGTTCTAATAACAGAGAAACATGCCATCTTAACTGAGTCTTAATCACGCAGCGCTCAGCAGGTTAACACGCCTCATACGGGGACATAACTACTGACTACGAGGTCGTCGCCCTGTGAAGACCTGTCACCCTGTCGGACGAAGGCCCTCGAGGGATTTGACCGACCACTGTTGGTGACCAGTTTGCTGGTAATTTAAAGCTGCATGTTCCTGCTGCAGACCGGAAGTGTGTCTTTACTCTGAGTTGATAAAAGCTGGAAGTGCATGTACAAAACAAACAAACATGTAAAAATAATTGAACAGATGAATTAAGGGAAACACTGGCTTGTGTTTGAGTGTTTTTGTTTCCTCAGACATAAATGATGTCTTTAGAGCATAAATAGAAAATAGAGAATTTGTGGGGTTGTTTTAACTTCTAGAACATTTAAAAAATACTTTTATTTATAAAAGTATACCAGTATAGTATACTAGTGTAGTATAATAGTATAGTCACAACTAACTTCCATAATCAGAACATGAAGGATAACTGGTAGTAAAGTAGATCAAGTAATTTGTGCATATCTTGGCAATGCACAGGTCAAAATGTTTGTGCATATATAACATATTTAATCGGAAAAAATTATAAATATATCAGTATTTTAGTTCTGTAATGTGCACTACACTATTAATGTGAAATGGAGTAGCTAATGTGTAGCATTAATACGTGCTAGTAAACTAAATAGATGTTACTGTACAGGACCCTGTCGGTGATATATATATATATATGTATATATATATATATATATGTATACTGTATATATACATGCATACTTTATATGGAATGTACACTGGTACACTTATGTAGTTCCTCATTATATAAGCGACTGTAGCCTGAGTTTATCTTTAGCCTCGCCCTCTGCTGACTGCTGACAACCCAAGTCCTGCACTAAATGGACACACACACACATGCTCCTGCACGCACACACACACTTATACAAACACTAATGGCATGTAATGGCAGCCTAACAGCAGGGCCCTTTAATGTAACCTGTATACAGTGTGGGACCTTCATCTCTTTGTGTCGCTGTAGATTGAAGAGGAGTGCTGAGTGCAGAGAGACACATAGTCCGGCCTGGACTCCCACAGAGTAATCCCCACATCACTTTAATGACTCTGACCTCGATACACGCACACACACACACACTCACGCACACAGTTTTTAACGATATGAGGATATTGATATCGCAGTAATATCAAGAATATTTAAAACACAGAATCGAACCGATCTCTGTTGTAAAATAATCAATAATTGAATCTAAACAAAATAAATGGAGACAAAATTCACAGCGAGACTTTTGTAAAACTCAGACTATAGTCTGCCCCAATGCCCCTCCCATACTCTCCCCCTCTCCTCCCCCTTTCCCATCTGCCTCTCTCGCTCTCTCACTTCTTCCACTTTTTTTCTGTTTTATCGTCACGCTCCTCATCTCTTCTCTTCCTTCCATCCCGTCCTCAACTTTTCAATAGTTTCCTCCTGTTACAGTCCTCCTCACAGTGAGGCCACATGCCTTCCTCCTCTCACTCAGTCACACACTCACGCACACACACACACACTCACACTCACACACACACATTACTGTGGCCCTCTCTGTCAGCGGCCCTCCTTTCCCCCGGCCCCTTAATGCCCCGTTTACCTCATCAATAGCGATCGATCCGGCCCTCAGAGCTGAAGGTCCCGCTCTCTGTCCCGGTGCAGCGAGCGCTCGGTTCTCTCCGTCCACCCTTCCTCTGTCAATCTGGCCACAAACCCCTCTTTCCTCCCTTTATCCCGAGGTAAGATACTTACTTTTCAGATAAAGCATATTATGATAAATCGGCTGAACTCTGTGCACGCGTGTGTGTGTGTGTGTGTAGCTGTCACACACACACACACTGTAAGCGCACAGTGTGCACATACAGACAAAAATACAGTGTGTGTGTGTGTACATGTGTATCGAATAACATGATGTCAGAGGTACTTAACAGCTGGAAAAGTGTTAATATGCGTGTCTGTGTGTTTGTGTCTATGTGTGTGTGTGTGTGTGTGTGTGTAGGTGTTGGGTCTTTTGGGACGTTGTTGGGTTTATGTCGTGTCATAATCATTCAATGATGGCAACACAAATGATTGGGAGCTTTATCTCTTTTCATGTTTCCATCTTCAACGTCACACACGCGCACACACACACACACACACAGGGGATTGGAATCAAATGCACATAACAAACCAAGGAGGATTCTGGGAAAAAAATGTTCTTTCATTATACTCTGAGTATTCTGTGAAACTGAATAGAAAGCCTATAGTTCCGTAGGTTCTGTTTATGAAAAGGGCCCAGAAGGCTTCATCAAAAATGATGATTGTGTTGACGTCAAACTTAATTTCAATTCAAAATCCTTTTCGTCATTTTTCATCTGGCAGAGCGGTCGAGCGGCTGATTTAAAAGTTTAAAAGAAAAAGCTGATGAAACATTCAGGAGCACAGATATGCAAACACGCACTTTCCAGCAGGTTTTCCTTTTCTCACTCTTAACTTTCTGGAGTGAATGAGTTTGCTCTCGGCCTCTTTTTGAAGGCCGCGTGATGCTGAGTGTTTGCTGATGAAATGGGACGAGAGGAACAGAGCATATGGGCCAATGTTCTCCGGCACAAGTGGGATGGAATAAGTTGAGGTCAACAAGCGGAACAAAAGAGTTTGGAGAAAATGAAAACTAAATGAAAATACAATGTGTTTGCCTTGGGGACGTGTATGCGTGCTTGTTTCAAAATGGGATATTTATGAAATGATGTGTGTGTTCGTGTGTGTGTGTGTTTGTGTGTTCGTGTGTGTGTGTGTGTGTGTGTGTGTGTGTGTGTTTGTGTGTAGGAGTATAGATTAGATGGACTAAGCCTCTTATGTGCTGGTTGTCCTTAATTTGTGTCTGCTCCGGGTCCTAGTGCGTCCAAACTCACACAAACAACCTAAAACCTCACATGTCATGCAACAATAAAATGCATAGTCGTGGTCTTAAAGTGCATTAATATAAAGTACTTAGGCTATGCTTATGTAATTATGTATATTTACATTAAAAACACAAGATTAAACTTTTCTAACTCAACAAAAAAAGACTGAAATTAATTTAAAAAAAGAAAACCAATGCAGTTAATCTGTTATATAAATGTATGTCTTATAAAAAACCATGAAGGCGGAGTTGCTGGTGACATTTTTGATCGTTCAATATAAATTAAAGATTAAACAATCTAGTGAACTCATAATTTATCTGTATAGTGTGTGACTGTTGGGCTTATTCCACTAGACTGTATAATTAAAGGATCACTATGGGAATTTAGAGTTTAAACTTAAAGTGATATTTGCACAGTGGGCCTATCTCAACATCTATTATGAATCATGTTCATTATAAGGGATTGGGAAGTTACTGAAAAGCAACATCCATATCCTTTTTTATGTTAATATTTTACAATGTAACAATATTTTTAGAGCCATATAGAGAGCCAGAGATGTATTTATCCTTTTTCAACTGGTGCACAAACGTCGTGGTTAAAGGCCTCTTGTATCCAAATGTAACAAAAATGTTTTTTCCTGCGTCATTTCTGTCAATGCATTGGGATAATTACTTGGTATTTTATCGGCCTATATATATATCGAGTTTCTTGTATTATTGATCTTGTAGACTGATATTAAATAAAGCTGAATGGCCTCACTCAAAGTTAAAAACAGGCCTGATTGATTCGTTCAAACAGCACAGAACTCATAGTAGCTAAAATGCATGAAAACTATGTTGAAATATGCAGAATAAGTTTCTCAAAAGGCTACAACAGAAAATGCATCAGTCCGAGCGAAGCAGGTGCACGAAGTGTGCGCGTGCACGGTTGTTCTGCGCGCAGTGTCGCGCGCTCCGAGGCATATCTGAGGTCTCTTGCAGTTGTCTCTCTCTCTCTCTCTCTCTCTCTCTCTCTCTCTCTCTCTCTCTCTCGCTCTGTGTCAGTTGGAGGTCTCGAGACATTCTTGTCGTCGGACTCCCCACATTTAGCTCGACTGGGCGGCTAGTTCAGTTCAAGCTGCTCGAGCCACAACAAACAAAACAGCAACGAACAAACAAAAACAAACAAACAAACAAACACGTACCTGGATGTGAGCTATACAGGCGAGGCGTCCGCTGGAGACGGAAGGTATCCAAACGTCACACACACACAGGCCTCCTACTCAAACAGCAACACACACACACACATACCTCAGCAGGTGAAGACACATTTTATGTGAGATTTCGAAACGTTCAAACACGCCGGTAAAGTCTCTCTGTCGCTCTGTGTGTGTCTTTATATCTCCGCTTTGGCTTTACAGAGCTAGATAAACCCCTTATACAGTTTGGGCTGTAGCTACATGTGTCTGTGTGTGTGTGTGTGTGTGTGTGTGTGTGTGTGTGTGTGTGCGCGTGTGTGTGTGGATTTTAAACTATAAGAAATCCGATTCAATTAACAAGCGCAGAGAATCGGCTTTGGACACTGTGAAATTGTCTCGCAGCAGAGGATGGCACACAGACCAGCGCAGAGAGAGGAGACACGACTCAGATCGAGGAAACAAACGAGGCATCTGCGAGAATCATTTGGAGATATTGTAATAAAACGATAAAAAAAACTAATTACCATTCGAAATATGTAAACGATTATAGAGCTGTAGATACAATATATGTTACAAATAAAAAGTGTGTCCTGACTCAAATTATTTCAGTAAATAATTTATTTATTTAACATGTTATTTTAGTGGACTATAACCTGTTTCCGCTTTTATTTAAAATATAAAACATGATAAAGGCAAGGTCTTCAATAAAACACACATGTAGCCTAAGTTTGATATCAAATGTATATTATCCTACATGTCTGAATTTATACATCAAGAATATCCGCCAACAAATTATGTAAAATCAACCTTTGACACATGATACAAGGCAGAACATTAAGATTATTATTATTATTATTATTATTATTGACTGCATAGTGAATGAGCGGATGAATGGGCCGGAGGGAGCATGTTGGGGATCAGAAGGGGATTTAAAAAAACAGAACAACGTGGTCTTTGTGCTGCCTGTTAATCCGGCCTCCATGTACCCCCTTCTCCCGGTTGCTCTACCTCTGCCTCTACACTCATGCGTGGGTCGCCCAATTATTGCTGGAGGCCAATTTAGAAAATGGTTCGTAACAATAAAAACGTCCATCTGGGATAGACTCGACAAGGCCAATGTGGCCTATTTAAGGTTCTTTTACGTTTGACAGAATAATCACCACAAGAATATGAAGCATAGGCCTAAAACTTGCCACTTTATTTTTTGAACCACAACAAATTACATAGGCTATCAACAGGTGTCAGTTGCGAGTTGCTGGATCTCAGCCTGAACGTTTCAACAAATTTGAATATAAGAGACATATCGAATAAACCCTCCATATATAGCACTACATGCCCAAAATGAATACATAACGACAGAATCTGTGTGCGTGAGCGCCCGAGAGAGAGAGGGAGCTAGAGAGAGAGAGAGAGAGAGAGAGAGAGAGAGAGAGAGAGAGAGAGA